TAGGGTTGAAAGTGAACTCAGAAGGTCACCTAGTCCAACCACCTGCTCAAAGCAGGACCATCCCCAAGTACATCATCCCAGCTAAGGCTTTGTCTAGCCAGGTCTTAAAAACCTCCAAGGATGGAGATTCCACCACCTCTCTAGGTAACCCATTCCAGTGCTTCATAAACTTCCCAGTGAGAAAGTTTTTCCTAACATCTAATCTAAACTTCCCTTGCTGCAACTTTAGACCATTGCTCCTTGTTCTGTCATCTGCTACCACTGAGAACAGCGTGGTTTGTAACCACCCTTCACGCAGTTAAAGGCTGCTATCAAATCCCCTCTCAGTCTTCTCTTCTGCAAATTAAATAAGCTCAGTTCCCTCAGCCTCTCCTCACAAGTCACGTGCCCCAGCCTCCTCACCATTTTGGCTCCTCTTTGCTGAACTCTGTTCAATTTGTCAACATCCTCTCCGTAGTAGGGGGCCCAAAACTGGACACAGTACTCCAGGTCTGGCCTCATCAGTGCAGAATAGATGGGGTTACATAATTATTTCTCTTGATCTGCTGGCAACACTTGTATGCAGTATGCCCAGTGTGCAGTTAGCCTTCTTGGCAACAAGGGCACACTGTTGACTCATATTCAGCTTATTGTCCACTGTAACCCCCAGGTCATTTACTGCAGAGGTGCTGCCTAGCCAGTCAATTCCCAAGTTGTAGCAGTGCACAGGATTTTTCCGTCCTAAATGCAGGACTTTGTACTTGTCCTTGTTGAACCTCATGAGATTTCTTTTGGCCAAATCCTCCTATTTGTCTAGGTCTCTCCCTGAATCCTAGCCTACCCTCCAGGGAATCTACTATAACTACTACTCCTTCTAGCTTGGTGTCATCCACAAACTTGCTGAGGGTGCACTCCATCCCACCTTCCAGATTGTTAATGAAGATATTGAACAAAATATTGAAAAGGACTGATCCCTGGGGCCCTCTGCTCCATAGTGGCTGCCATCTAGACCTCAAGCCATTGTTCACTACACAGTGAGCCTGACAATCCAGCCAGCTTTCTATCCACCTTACAGTTCATTCATCCAACATGTTTTTCCTTCGCTTGCTTGCAAGAATGCTGTGGGAGACTGTATCAAAAGATCTGCTAAAGTCAAGGTATATCATGTCCACTGCTTTCCCTGCATCCAGTGACCTGGTAACTTCTCACACATACACCATGATCCAGAAGGACTGACAATTGCCTACTACTAATATACAGTGTATTAAACCCATACAGAAGGCTCTAAGTCAACGGTGTGCAAAAGGCAGCCCGCGGCTCGCCGGCTCATTCTATCCGGCTCGCGGGGTCCCTAAAAAACATAGAAAACTAATAGTTATCTGCCCCTTGCTGCCTGTAACCAGGCCCTCGATGGCTTGCCAAAACTCGGTAAGTGGCCCTCCGCCCAAAATAATTGCCCACCCCTGCTCTAAGTATACTGTGATATGAGAAAGTTAGAATTAAAAAAAGGCTTAAAAGTTTGTAAATGAGTATCTGTATTATGATGCTAGCTACATGTCACAGAACAGATCAGGTTTGCTTTCGCAGATAAATGCTCAGAGATGTATAGATATAGTATCATGTTTTCCAAATTATTCATTTAAAGGTCTCAAGTGTAATTAAACCTTGCATGGTTCAGAAATTATGTTTTCAACTCAAGCTTTTCAAGTCATTTTCTACTAATTCTTAACCAACGGAGGAAAAGGCCTGTTGAGTCTCATTTAGCTTGAACAATGTCATTTCCTTCAGCATTTCCATAGTCAAGGTTGGCTTACAGCAGAAGTGTTCTATCTACTTAGGTTTGGTGCACGATAGTTGCGGGAGGGGTTTCTTCACTATTCCACGCACAACCAAGCACGCAAACCTTTCTGCCACATATGCAGCCTATCAAGAAAAATGCTGACATGCAAGTCACACTTCACAGCAAAGTGATCCTATTCCTTTGTGCTCAAAGCAGCCCTCTGTGTTGCACTTTGTCAGGATGCTGCCATTTTTAAAAGAGGTGTAAAAAGCAGAATCCATGAAGACATCGAGTAAAAGCTTGTCACATACCTCCAGCAGTTTTCAACAAAATCGGCATTTGAATTTCAAGCTTGTTTACAACTAGATACATAAAAGTATGCTATTGTGACTTATTTAAAGGATGTAACTATGTTTTATCAATATGTGCAAAATATTCTCATCCAAAATTTAAACAAGCAATTAAAGGCCAAGTTCAGTCACTTCCTTCCACAGGATCAGTTTCAGGCTGTATTGACTTGTAGTCTCAACTAACCTGCAGAATCCCTCGAGAGTCTCAGCCTGTCTTGTGTTTTACACTGCAGGAACGAAGAAGTTGGGGTATAAATAATGGAACTATGCAGTTTGTGAAAAACATTTATAGTAAGACTGACATAGTAACTCAGGGCAAATGAAATGCAAGGTGATCTTTATTCAGAAAAGTAACAAAAGAAGCCATCTGTGGGTTTTCCTCTTAAAAAAAGAAAGGAACAAAGGCTAGAGGAAACCAGATGCTGCTGCAATATTAATTTAAACATTACATGTAGGAAGCTCACTTTCATGCCTACTGCCTCCCTGCACAAAGAAATAAGCAACTGAACAAAACAGAGTTTAAAAAAACCCAAACTTTATCTTTACTCCCCTCCCCACAATACAGTGCTCATCATCGTGGTGTTCTGGTGCTACGCTATGCTCAATACAGCAACTGTTGTTGTCAAACTTGAAGTACATAATAGGTTTTCAGGTCAGTGCCAGATATTAGTGGATCTGTTAACATTTGTTGCCTTAGGAACCTTCTCCACTCCTTTCAAACCAAAGGCTAGTCAAATAACCTCTCAAATATCCCCATAAAAACTGAACACTTTGGCTACAAGGCCAAGATGAGTTTTATATCCAGATTATTTTATACAGGACAAGTCTGATGGGTCCTACCCAATGACTGGTTCAAATTCTCACAAGGCTAACAGATAATTAATAAACTTTCTCAGTTTAGCATATTTTACACAGCTCATACTACAGTTTTTTTCACGAGAGATTAGAACTTCGGAAGCAATGGAGAAGTCTGCAAAATATACCCTGAGTATGGATGAATGTACCCTTTCCACTTTAACAGGGGCGTGGAAGCTGCCAATTAGGCAAGCATGTCAGCTGTTGTGAATGCAACTGATCAGTACTCTGTATCAGTATTTTAATAGTGGTTTAAGGCTACACCTAACTAGCTAACCCTCTCCCCTTTTATGAGCAGAAACAGAACTCATTTCACAGAGGAGGGTGAAGGCTTAATAGGACCTTCACCACACTGTATCTACCACTGTAAATATATACTTTCAATTATCTTTCAAATTAAAAGACATCATTGCTCCTTCATAAGGTGCATCCAATCCTCATATGCTAGGTTAATAAAATGAGAGCATCATTGCACCAGCCAGATAACTCTGCATTACCGATTTTTGCTTCTGGAATGTTTCTTTCATTGTTTATTTAATAGTGAAAGTGAAACCCAATTACTCATGAACCACGCTGCTGCTCCCTCCCTTTTCAGCTTTACCTGCCCAAATCCTCAGCAGAGCTTGAGGCTATCCAGACCCTGAAAGTGATGTAGGCCATTCAAGACTGCTTTGGTCAAATTTAGCAAGGATTACCATCTTAAGAGAAAGATTTAAAGCAGAAAAAAAATGGATAGAAGGCAGGTGGCAGGATCCAGGCTCATTAGGGCTCAGCAGAGTGGCTGGACCTCACTATCTGCCCAGAAGGCAGAGGAAGGGCCTTCCAGTGTAATCTAGCTCCCTGATGCTGCAGTCTAATCCAGACTGGGGGAAGAGGCAAGAAGCACGAAGGCCTGTTTTCATGGATCACACTGGAAGGTTACAACCCGATGGCTGGCATGGTATGTATCATATCCTGTAAATTTCTCCTCCTCATAGATCTTAACAGCTCTTCACCTAAAGAGATTCACTTAATCTTTTAGAATAAATACACATTGCCTCACTCAATAAATACATATTGCCTAACCTCTATTTTTCTGTCAAAAAAGAAATCTGCGTCTTCTTCTCTTCAAACAAACAGCCCCATTCTGGAGTAAATGCACTTTTCCTTTTTAAATAAGGAAAAAAAAGAGATATATTCATCCAGAGTTGACAAATAGACTATAATATGCCAAGCAGTTCAGGGGAAGTGAGGTAGCTTTAATAATCTGTATCACAGTATTATTTTTCTGTCATAACTTTATGGCATATAACTGGGAGTTCAGGCACTTGCAACTTCACCTCCCCGAAGAGCAATGTATCAAGACGGTAATGTATCATGACCTCAACAAATGTTCTATTTAAACAGCACTATGATTCCCAAATGGAAAACACATTTCTGCCTGTGATAGTGTGAGCTTAAATATAATTCATGTATTGCCTTTTCTGACTATATTGCTGGAAAAAAATGCTGTTTGGCTAAAATTTAGTATCCTGAACATACTTTCTAACATGCAGGGCTAGATATTGATATCAGGTAGGTCAGTGTAAATCTGAAGCAACACCAAAGAAGTTATTCCCAATTTGGAAGGGTGCTACAGAGCAGTCAGACGCATTAACAGATAGACATCTTACTTACTGAGATTCCACTTGAGGCCAGTTGTGGTTACGTTGTCACAAGCGTTTCCAATAGGAATGAGGCCACACCATTCACCTTCCAGTCCTGTGTTTACGTGGAGTTTGTGCTTCCCCTATTAAATAAAGCAGGATCTTGTTAGTCCAGTGCTTTTCAGAACTTTGATACCTGGGGTACACTTTCTTTTCTGGAATAAAAAGGGTGGCACACTTCACTCCTACACCCCAAAATGCATGTGTGTGTGTGTTTTCTGAATTTTGCAGCACTCCAGTTGAAAATCACTGAGGTAGATCTAAATTCAGGAAAGATGGGGTGGGGGAAGGGGCTTGAGGCTAAAAAAGCTGAAAATCACTGATCTAGTTGATGCCACTTAGGGCAGTAGGGGATGAATGGAGGGAATGAGCTGGGCTGCAAAGCGTGGCTCCAACAGTGAGTCCAGCTGCAGCACAGTGAGCTGCTGGGAGCATGGGGGAGGGATGGCACAGGCTGCCTGGGGTGGGAGAAGGCAGTAGCTGTGGTAGCAATCCCTAGAGGAGCAGCCACGAGCACTGCTGGAGTAGGTGTGGCAGACACAAGGTGCTGGATGGGGGAGAAGACCATTTACCTCCTCCTTAGAATCACAGAAAAGGAGGGTTGGAAGGGACCCCAAGAGGTCATCTAGTCCAACCCCTGCTCAGAGCAGGACCATTCCCAATGAGATCATCATGGCCAAGGCTTTGTCTAACCGGGTCTTAAAAACCTCCAAGGATGGAGCTTCTACCACCTCTCTGGCTAACCTGTTCCAGTGTTTTGCTACCCTCCTAATAAGAAAATTCTTCCTAATATCTAACCTAAACTTTCCTTGCTGCAACTTGAGACAGTTGCTCCTTGTTCTGTCATCTGCCACCACTGAGAAGAGTCTAGCTGCATCCTCTTTAGACCCACCCTTCAGGCAGTTGAAGACTGCTATTAAATTCCTTCTCAGTCTTTGCTTCTGCAGACTAAATAAACTCAGTTCCCTCGGCCTCTCCTCACAAGGCATGTGCCCCAGCTCCCTAACCATGTTCACTGTCCTCCGCTGGATGCTCTCCAATTTGTCCACATCCTTTCTGCAGTGAGGGGTCCAAAACTGGATGTGGCCTCACCAGTGCCAAATAGAGGGAAATAATCTATCCTCTCAATCTGCTGGCCACATTCCTACTAAGGCAGCCCAGTATGCCGTTAGCCTTCTTGGCAACAAGGGCACACACTCTTGGCTTACATTCAGCTTATTTTCCACTGTAACCCCCAGGTCCTTTTTTGCAGAGCTGCTGCCTAACCAGCCAGTCCCAGTCCATAGTGGGTGCATGGGATTGTTCTTGCAGCATTTAGTATGGTGTTGGACACCTTTTGGTAATCACTGCGCTAGTATTAACCAAGAACCGGAAGCATTTATAACAACAAACTTGTAAACTAAATTGGAACATATCTGAATTTGAGAGGGCTGATCTAATTTTCTTCAACTTCAGAAATAATTGGTTTCGGGATTTCAGGTCACTCCATCACACAGAGATCAGTCATCAACTACAGATTCGCCTGCCAACAGTTTCAAAGTGTGGGAATGTTTGGATCTGACATTATGGTTTGGTCTCATCTCTAACCTCAGGCAAATGTGTACTATGCCAGAGAACATTCAAAGTTTGGTTTTGTTTTCCTCCAAAATGGAGGAAGATTGCTGAGCTACTGAATTTGTCCTTAAAATACCGTACATAAACAGACAACTGTTTAAACATAGACATGGAACACTCTAAAAGCAACCAAACCTCATCAAATTTAGGGTTCATTAACATTTTGGTCATGTTTATAAAATGTCATGTACTTTCCATTATGGAAGCACCTGCAGAAAGCACCTATATATGTCTAGCAGGACACTTACAAAATCTAAGAAAGGATGACATCCTTATTAAAGACATTTAACAGGTAATCCTAAATATTTCTATACCGTGACCAGAATTCACTTAATTACAATCACTAAAAAGTACAGAAAAATTCCTATTACCTATTATACATTGTAGAATTTTTCTTCTACAAGAGTTTCATAGATTCACAGAATGTTACGGGCTGGAAGGGATCTTGGAGATCATCTGGTCCAGCCCCCCCTGCTCTAGGCAGGAAGACAACTGGGGTTAGGTGACCCCAGCGAGGTGACTGTCTAGTCTTCTCTTGAAAACATCCAGGGTAGGTGACTGCACCACCTCTGGAGGGAGTTTATTCCATAGTCTGGACATCCTGACTGTGAAGGAGTTTTTCCTGGTATTAAGCCTGAAGCGGCCTTCCAGGCGTTTGTATCTGTTGGTCCTGGTCTTCCCCAGGGTTGCCCTAGTGAACAGCTGTTCACCAAACTCCTGATGCACTCCTCCGATATAGCAGTAAGCCACTATCAAGTCCCCTCTCAACCTTCTCTTCTTTAGGCTAAAGAGGCCCAGGCCCCTCAGCCTTTCCTCCTATGCTTGCCTTGCAAGTCCCTGATCATACGGGTGGCTCTTTTCTGGACCCTCTCAAGTTTTTCCACGTCCTTACTGAAGTACGGCACCCAGAACTGAACACAGTACTCCAGCTACAGTCTCACCAGTGTTGAGTACACTGGGAGTATCACTTCCTTAGTTTTACACGTGATGCATTGGTTGATGCATGCCAGTATGTTGTTTGCCCTGCTGACCACTGCCTCGTACTGATGGCTCATATTCATGCGATGGTTGATCATTATCCTTAGGTCCCTTTCGGCCATGGTGCAAGTCAAGCTGTTGCTCCCAAGGCCATATGTATGCTGAGGTTTGTTTGGCTCCAGGTGGAGCACCTGACACATGGAAGTGTTAAACTTCATTTGGTTCTGGGTAAATCTTTGCTGCATTATGGTTTAGAATGAAAAACTAAAGCTTGTTGTTTCAAATGAAAATCAAGGTGCGTGAAGTCACTGGAAATAAAACTTACGAACAACACAACATGACATGAAGTGAAACAAGCAGCTCTCATAAATCTAATGCTAACTCATTTTATAGCAGTTAATTCCACATTCTGGAAGAGATACCTGTTAGCAGCCATGTGTTTGTAATGATATTTGGCAGTAATACTCTTCAATTAGCTGTCACGGGCCCCAATTCAGCATATTTACTTTAAGTATGCGTGTGGTTCCAATCAGGTAATTAAGAATGGACACTGAACATTTCTGTGAATGAAAATCAAACAGCCTTTCACAGTACAGTGACATATTTCTGTGATCAACTGGATATAGTAAGGAATTATTTCCTTCAATGCAGCTATACGGAAACAGCAATTAATTGAAGGAAACTGTGTCAATATTTGTGGAAAATAATTATCAGATTGTTCCTGAATAAGTAATTGGTTCTATATAACAAATCGGGGCTTCATCTACTGAAGAGCTGAAACGCTTGGGAGGATGTGCTTTTTGGTTTATATCCTCTCATGAGTGCAGAGTCAAGTTAACTCTCTTAACTCCGGTTTGTGCTAATGGGAGTCGCACACATTTTTCATTTTACAGTTCAGCCATTTTGCCATAGAAAAGGGTATTTTTTTTAAAGAACACCTAAACCCAATACATAATTCACTGTTTTTACCAAGACAAATTTTTCAAAGCAGGAGATCCTGTCTAAAGTGACAGAAAGAGTAGTATGACTCAAGCAATGTCCTCAGCAGCAAAAAAACATGACTAAAAAGGAATATGCAAGATATTGCTTCAACTCTTATTTTCTTTTTCCTCCCTCACAGTGCAGCCCACAACACTATGAAGTGACAAGCTTGAAGGCTAAAATGAAAGGAAAGTATCTTAGATGCTGAGATGAACTGTTTGAATTATTTGACATAGTCTGCTGCTTGTGCCAAATATTTTATTTAAAAAAAACCCCAAAAAACACCCCACTACAAGTCATGCTCTCAGTTAAGAAAAAAACCTTGGGAAAGCTGCCAATTAAAAAGTACTGTATTTTTATAGGGTAAGCCTACTAAATTACTTGCAGAGCAACAAAAAGAACAATTTAACATCATCTAGTTTCTCAAAATGCCCCATTTCTCATGGTACTGAGTCACAGGGACCCATGGGAGTCTTAGGTGCTATACACATTCAGGGATTTCCACATTCAGGCCTACTGCCATTTCGGCTGGTTCACAAGGACTTTCACTGAAATCTCACAAAACTCATCTTCTGTTGACTGTTAACCTTGGGACTCTTGGTGGTGCTGGTGTGTTGCGTGTATAATGTTTCCATTCTTTTTCCTTTTTTGGGGGACATTCTTGACCTGGTTGAACAATGCCCATGCTTCTAATGCTAGGCACTGAACTGGAACCTCTAACTATATTTTACTTATAAAAGAAAATTAGAACTTTAAAACAAAAGCGTACAGTATTGCTAAGTCTCATGATTTTAGTGTGAGACTGTTGATACTTGAAATCTTAAAAACCTTAGCTTGCAAAGCCCCTGACTGCATGAGAATCTCAACTTTCATTTGTTTAAAGGGCCTTCTAGGTTTGAAGCTGTAGAGAAATGTTTGAAAGCTTGATCTCCAGAGTCTTAAAGCCCAGGAAACAGCAACAACTAGAAAGAATTTAATTCAAATTAATTTTTCTGCAATTTTGAAGCCAATTGCATGAATTTTTCGGATTTGACTTGTGACCAATCGCTCGTGACCAAAATTATATTGTATAAGGAGAATTAATTTAAAAAATCATAACATTTTTAATGAGAGATTTTTACTTTTTGAAGTCCCCTTAAACAAGTTAACAAATCCATTCATTTCTTTGACAGAAAGATGAAAAAGTCAGTATGTTTTACAGAGAAGCTAGACTGCCACAAGGAAAATAACATCATAGAATCATAGAGAAGCAGGGCTGGAAAGGATTTCCAAAAGTCATCTAGTAAAACCCCCCAGCCTAAGGCATGATCTTTCCTATCCAAACTATCCCATACAATCCATAATCTAAACTTAACATAAGACTATCATCAACCCTAACACAACAACACCTAACACTCCAACCTGCCACAGGTAAAGCAGGTGAACCAAGGCAACCAACGTCCCACTTCTATGAAATGTTGTCAATATAAGCTCAAGAGATCTTGGGTAGAGGGCCACATCCCCCACTGCA